AAAGCTGCCTCTGGAAAATGTTCAGAAACTTCAGAGGGTCCAAAATGCAGCACCCAGATTGCTAACTAGGGCTTGTTATAGGGAACACATAACCACTACCACCCTTTTACAGCAGCTCCATTGGCTGCCGATCCATTTCTGGGCCCAATTCAAAGTGATGGTTTTAACCTATAAATCCATAAGTGGCTTTAATCGACTATAAAGATAATCAGGGGAGGCCTTTCTCTCAGTCCTACCACCCTCACAAGCACACCTGGTTGCTGCTCCTGGACTCTGGAATTCCCTTCCACAAGCAGCCAAGCTGACGCCATATTTGCTGTCCTTCTGCAAGCAGGCAAAGACCTTTCTCTACAGACAGGCTTTTACTTAGTAACTGGCAGACTGAGATGAGTTTTTTGAATTGGATTGTTGTGCTCTGTTGCTTTTAAATGTGTTTTTAGTATTTATTTTATTATCCATTTAATATGATAATTGTTTAATTCTTTTTAAATATGTGTATATTTACTGTTTTTAGCTTTTGAATATTGTCCTTTTAATATTGTAAGTCACCTTGGGTCCTTTTAAGAAAGTCCATTTTCTTTGGGGAGAGGGAGAGAGAGGACATTTTCTAAAAAGTTGCTTTTCAAAGTGCAAGCTGGACAAGAAATCCTGGTAAGACCTGCTGAATGAATGAATGAATGAATGAATGAATGAATATTATGGAGATCTTAGGGAGAAGAGGAGAAAGAGTTCTTTGACTCATTGCTGGCTAGAGGTGATGAATCTTTTAGGGCTCTATTTCCATTCCTATCCATAAATCTGTTCTATTTGTTTCCACATCAATGGAAATTTGTATCTAAATGCATTTTTGAATGCACATTTACATGCTTATCTTCTCACAAAACACCTGTTTCAAGATACACTTCTTCTCATGATGCATATTTCTAAGTGTAGTATTTTATTCCAAAATGCACATCTTAAAAAGGCTTTCAGTATGCTGAGGACTGCACCACCAGCTTCAGCGATACATGGCATCCAATAATGGCTGAAATCCTGTTGCTTAATGTAGCAAGTCACAGTAAAGAGGCCCATTGAATCAATGGGGATTTGGTAAGTTAACTCCTCTGTAATTTCCATTAATTTAAATGGGCCTACTCTAATTGTGACTTACTACACAACAGTAAGTTTATGAAGGAGTTGACTTGCCAGAACCTCATTGATCCAATGGTCCTGTTCCTTTGAGGTGGTGCAGATCAGGTCACTTTGAAACAGAATTTGCAAAGATCAAATTCCTCAAGTATCCTTCATTATGATCATTTCTATATCTACTAGTCTTCCTTCTTCCTTTGCACTCACATTTACCTACTTCTTTGGCTTCTTCTCAAGGGTTTCATGGACATTGACCTGGCACAATTCAGAGCAAGTGGAGCAAATGTGACTGGATTCCAGTTGGTGAACTATACAGACAGCATTCCAGCCAGGATCATGCAACAGTGGAAGAACAATGATGCCAGGGAACAACCTCGGGTTGACTGGAAGAGGCCAAAGGCAAGTGGTACTGAAAACCATTTGTTTGAGGAGGCAGTCATGCCACTCTCATGTTAAACTCTCAACGTGAAACCAGAAGCAGAAACTTTTATTTTTCATGTGTTTATTTTTAAAAGCCTCAGTTTGAGCTCTCTTTTGCTTTTATCTCTTTGAAGACAAGGCATGGCATAGGATTTTTTTTAAAAAAAAATAGTTCTATTAACTTGTATAACTTCTGGTTTCTGGATTAGCTGATGGTTATTGTTGCTGCTGCTGTTATAATTCATGCAATTGTTGAATGGTAAGTCAACACTTCCACATGTCCCATTAAATTTAATTGAACTGATATATACTGTATACCAAACAGGCCCTAAAAGCAGTGAATGGTACAAGCAAATGTAAAAGCAGGGCAAAAAATCTGTAAGAATGAAACCAACACTTAAGTAAATATTTTTAAAAATTAAATGCTAGGCAAAAATGAGATTTAGTTATTGTTTACTAAAAGTCAAGCAATATGTAAACCAGTCTAATCTGCATAGAATGGAGCTTCACACTTGAGGTGCTGCCACAGAAAAGGCCTTGTCCCATTTTACCACCAAACTTTCCTCACTTGGTGTATTTGTATGTATGCATGCCCATATACCCATATGTGAATGTGCACACATGCATGTGTGAAATGAAATCTATATGAATTGAGATATATAAGTTACCTTTCTTGATGTACTTCTGTGAAGTAAACACATTACTTGCTTTAAAACAGTGTTAATTCAATGTCAGCATCTCTTCAGACCTTTTCTGTAATGCAGTATTACTTGTTACTTACTATGCTAGAGTTTGTAGAGGCAAAATAGAGATTATCCAGACAGCAGTTTCCCCCTGAAATATACCTGGTTTAGCAATGATGTTATCAGCATTCCATCCACATGATGCAAGGCTTTTCTTGGCAAATACATTGACAGACAGTGAATTTTTCCATTTTCTTTGGGGAGAGGGAGAGAGAGGACATTTTCTAAAAATGGGCATAATGAATGAATGCTGAATAGTGGGGATGCCAGCAGAAAATGCAGCGCCATTGGAGAAGCAGAGGACAGGTCACACTAGGGAATGGGCAAATACTCTGGGCAGCACTGGCAGGCAGACTGAGTAACAATAAGAGGTTCACTCCTATCTGTCCCACCTTGAACCAAAGGCTTCTTTGCCACCACCTTGGTAGGCGTGCGTGTGCACACACACACACACACACACACACACACACACCCCCTAAAGGAAGGTGACTGGGATCGGCATCCATGCGGCAGCACCGTTTGTGCAGTTTGGCGCACCCCTCTACGGAAGTCCACGGACCAAGAGCGATTTGGCTGAG